GAAGCTGCAGAAGTCGAGCAAGGTGAGTGGTGCCGGAGGTGTGTGTGGTGAGGTAGCGGGATGCACTAACACGTTGCAGACCATGTCTGACGAATTGCGAGCGGTCAAGGCACGCGTGTCGGACTCGCACGCACAGTCGTCGCGATCTTCGATTGAGTCTTCGCGGTCGCGGCTGGCGTCGCCGAACCCCAACAAGGGCAGCGGAGGAGCGATTGGCGAGGCGATTGACTATGTGTACCTGAAGAACGTATTGCTGCAGTTTCTCGAGCAGCGCGACCGCAAGTACCAGCAGCAGCTCATACCGGTGCTGGGCATGCTGTTGCACTTTGACAAGCAGGACGAGCAAAAGTGGATGGCGGCCGTGTCGGCCAAGTAGTGTGGCAGTCATGGTGATGGTGATGACGAGGATGCGGCTCTCTGCGGTCTGACGTGCAGATGGGTGATTTGTGCACAACGCGCAGCTGAGGTGCCGTGATGGTCTATCTACTGGACGAGGCGGTGGTGTAGCATCGTAGGGGGGACCTGGGACCAGGGCACTGGGACTAGTAGGAACCGGCACGTGGGGCGAGGGAAGGTGTTTGTTTGTTTGCTTTCTTGTTTTCTTTTTCTTTTCCATGCCAGCATGGCGAGGGCGGTTGGGCTTCTCGGGGAGTAGGGCAGGGCACGACATGTATTATATATCTATGTATGGCGGCGGGGGCGGCGGGGTGCATCAGCTCGCAGCTGGCTGCCACGGACAGGAGAGGTAATGCGGCGCACAGCTGATGGCATGGCTGGCTCAATGCACAATGTCTTCTTGCAAGCTGCAGCGTGTCTGTGTCTACTGGCAATTAATTAGTAGGCAGAGTGTTGGACGGCAGTCTGCGACGGGAGGGGGTAGACGCCAAGCACAAGTACTGCAGGCAGGGAGCCTGCAGGATTGATCAACTGGACAGGTGGGCTTGCAGCCGTTCCAGGGCGCGGCCTGACCTGAGGGAAGAAAGCAGACTAGGGCGGTGGCCGGCGCCTGGTCGTGTGGTGATGGTGGTGGTGCTGGTGGTGGTGCTGGTGGTGGTGGTCGAGGTGGTGGTGGTGCTGGTGAACAAGGCCGTCGACTGATGTCATAACTGGCCTCGTCTGGCCTGCTTCTTTACCGCTTCGCTCGGCCTGCTCCATGATGCGTCCTTTTCCACCCCCAAACCAGCCAGCCAGACTCGTTGCACAGCACGCCGTGCCTACAGTAGCCTGCTCACAGAAGAGTCCGCCACGGCGCTCTGCAGAAAATCGCGCGTGGGCGTGCCTGCACCGCATCTCCCGGCAGGCGAAGCGGCCTCTTGACCTGCTGTTCTGGCTGCCCCCCATCGCAGCCACGCTATCCAAGTCCCCCCACCATCCCACCGCCAATCACACGCCCGTCCAGCGCCAGGCGGGCGAGGAGAGCGCTAAGCCCATTCCCCAGCAATTGAAGAAATCGCAGGGCAGTGCGACGACAGCCAGCATCGCGCCGCCCGCTGCTCCCCAGTCTCCTTCACTCTCCCTCCCTCCCTCTCCCGCCTCCTCGGCCTCGTTTGCAGCCCGCAGCCAGCCCAGGACCGCCCTCCCTGCCCCCCACCCCGTGAGCCCATGAGCGCTGCCCAACGCGTCCGGAACGCCTAACCGCAACATCGCATCCCCCCAGCAACCCCCCTCCAAGTCCCAGCTCTCCCAGCCCAGCCCATCCCAGCCCGTGGCGGGGGTAGAGCCACCATGAATGGCACCGACATGAAAAAGGCGGCCATCAACAAGGCCAAGCAGGTCGCCCACGCCGCAAACAGCAACGGCGGCAAGAAGCGACGGAAGGGCCAGGACCTCAAGCCCATCATCACGGCGGAGAATCAAGGCGGCGCCCAGAATGCATCGCCCTCTGGCTCCACGGCCTCCTTTCACTACAAGTACGTCCCTGACCAGCAACGCCCCCCAACCCCCATCACGTCACCCTCCCGCCCGCTCGCCCCCACTACACTTGATTTTGCCCTCTGCGCGCACACGCACCCACACACACACACTCTCTCTCTTTCTTCTCCGCATGTCATATGCTCATGCCACCGCCGCCGCCGCACTGCCGCATCCCCAAACTGACCACAATAACCCCGCAGTGTGCAGAGCGCAACGTCGCCCCACAGCCAGAACAAAATGTACGGAAGTCAATTGAGCCACTCGCCAGACTCGTCGTCATCGTCGGTCGATGAGGCCGAAAACACGGCCGATGAAGAGGACTCCGAAGATTACTGCAAAGGCGGCTACCACCCAGTCCAAGTCGGCGAGGAGTACAAGGACGGCAAGTACACGATTGTGCGCAAGCTTGGCTGGGGCCATTTCTCCACCGTCTGGCTGTCCAGAGACAACACCAACGGCAAGCACGTCGCCCTCAAGGTCGTCCGCTCCGCTGCGCATTACACCGAGACGGCCCTCGATGAGATCAAGCTGCTTAAAAAAGTCGTCGAAGCCAACAAAGACCACCCCGGCCGTGCGCATGTCGTCAGCCTGCTCGACTCATTCAACCACAAGGGCCCCAACGGCGTCCACGTCTGCATGGTCTTTGAGGTGCTGGGCGAGAATCTCCTGGGCTTGATCAAGCGATGGAACCACCGCGGCATACCCATGCCACTGGTCAAGCAAATCACAAAGCAGGTACTCCTCGGCCTCGACTACCTCCACCGCGAGTGCGGCATCATCCACACCGATCTCAAGCCCGAGAACGTTCTTATCGAGATTGGCGACGTCGAGCAAATCGTAAAGACATATGTAAAAGAAGAGCCCACAAAGAAGAGTGGCGAAGATAGCGTTAGGAACGGCAGGCGGAGGCGAAGGACTTTGATCACAGGCAGTCAGCCACTGCCCAGTCCGCTCAACGCGAGCTTCAACCACGCTGAGCTGTCCAGCTTCCCTGGAAGCACCCAGAGCCTGAACAAGGTTATGAGCGAGGGTACAGGTAAACTTTCCCCCACGACTGTTCCGAGTCCTCCTCCTTCATCAGACGGTGTCGTAATGAGTGGTGCTCTAGCAACTCCGGCCTCTACATCGAACCTGTCCATGGCAGAACGACTCGGCATCAAGTCGACAAACGAAGACGACGCACAGAAACAGCGCGAAAAATCTGCGTAAGTTGACTGACATGCCCCTGGGCATAGACAAAATTGACTAACACGCACATCCTAGCGACCTACTTACCAAGGAGGTATCCAGCATTAGTCTTGACCGGCCCGCTAGCGCTTCTGGTAAATCACAGCTCGAACAGCAGGTCGAACACTCTTTTGAAACAATATCTGTCAAAATTGCAGATCTTGGAAACGCCTGCTGGGTTGGACACCACTTTACCAACGACATCCAAACCAGGCAGTACAGATCCCCAGAAGTTATCCTGGGTGGTAAGTGGGGTGCCAGTACCGACGTGTGGAGTATGGCTGCAATGGTATGACGTGTGACCTATGAGAAAGCAGGCAGCCTTGCTGACAGGGATAGACGTTCGAACTCATTACTGGCGACTATCTTTTTGACCCACAATCGGGCACCAAGTATGGCAAGGACGACGATCACATTGCTCAGATTATTGAACTGTTGGGAACCTTCCCCAAGGGCCTATGCATGTCCGGCAAATGGTCGCAGGAGATTTTCAATCGCAAAGGCGAGCTTCGCAACATTCACAGATTACGGCATTGGGCCCTGCCAGATGTTCTGCACGAAAAATATCATTTCAGCACAGAAGAGAGCAAGAAGATTGCCGACTTTTTGTTGCCAATGTTGGAACTGCTACCCGCAGATCGAGCCAATGCTGGAGGAATGGCAGGTCATGAATTCTTGAAGGACACAAAGGGAATGGAGAATGTCAACTTGAATATCCCAGTTGGTAGCAAGGGCGAGGGCATAGAGGGTTGGGCTACGGAGGTTAAGAAGACCAGGTAGACCCAAACTATGCATGTTGCGAGAGGCTGGGGCTGCCGAGGACTGAAGATGCCGATAAGCTGTGAGCAATGACGAAGAGTTTTGCAAGCTTTCACGATGCCCTGACATCTTGTCAAGGTCCGCGGGCTATGCAAAGGCCGCGAGTCGCGAGCTGGAATTGACCCAGAGCCAAATCTCGCATAGGCCGGCCGAATACAAGATCCTCGTATGCAAGCAGCTGTGCCTAATCCCAAGGTACCATGATCTGGCTGCGAGACGGGGTGGCCGCCTCCCCGTGTGGGCGGTACGAGCTAGCGGCGGCGGCGGCGACGTTGCGACATGTACGGCTTACTTGTGTGTTTTGGAACACGCAGCGTGAGAACAGTGTCTGGAACCCAGTGGCGAAAGCGTACGAATTGGTTTGTCTTTCCCTTTTTTTTTCGTTCTTTCTTGTGCAGATTAGAGCATTTTTACGATTCATGAAGCATGCAAAAGACGGGTTTTTTGTGTTTTATCCCTCGAAGCAATGAAAAAATTCACCGAGTATTATTATGTATAAGGACACAGGAGAGGCGGGTAATAAAATGGGCCTGGCCATGCTAAACATAGTCCGCCTGACAGGCCCTCAGCCACACTTGGGGACGACACACGGAGACATTAGTGGATCGGGCGTCATCATCACGAACATGGTCGGCTTGAACACGGACCACGTGGGATGGCTGGGTGGCATTAGCTGCCAGATTTCTTCGTGTTACTAGAGGCACCCGTGCCGAATAAACGTATTGTGTACAGTACTAGGCACTGATTATGTGCATTGTGCGCCACACTCTTTTTGTCGCCAACACATCTGGCGCTTGGGTCCAGGGGGCAACCTCGATACGGACATGTCAAGCCCTTTCTGGTCCGCACCAGGCCTACCATGGATTCGCGCTATCCGATCAGCTGGTATACGGGATATATGGATTCCTTTTTCTAAATTTGATGCTTGCCTTGCTTCTTTGTTTCTAGACCGACTCTTTTTGTAGCCTAGTCGGCGCTGCGGCCCTGTCACTCTCTTATCACGAGGGGGGGCAGGGTTTCACACATATATATATTCTATCTCGACGGAGCGGCTCCGTTCGGAAACTAGTATCATATCTCATATTGCCCTTTCTTACCTCAACTTAATACGCCTCTTAATTCCCTTCATTCTCTGTTCTTTACATTTACCTTTTTAATCCAAGTTCGCATATATACTTATCCGATAATGTTGTTTCCTACCTCTCTACTCGTCTTGTCTGGTTTGACCTACTCTGTACTCGGTCAGACACATACAGACTGTAATCCTACCAAGAAGTGTAAGTCTCTACTTCTCAGACTAAGAAAATCTTATCTTTGACTCGCTCAAACTAACACTGTCCAGCATGTCCTGCCGACCCAGCTCTCGACACATCATACTACAGCCACGACTTCACCAAGGAAGGCGCCGACGATGACAACTGGGAAATGACCGCCTCAGGTGTCTCGTACAGCGATCAAGGCGCCGAATTCACAATCTCCAAGCAAGGCGACCACCCCACCATCCAGTCCAAATGGTACATCTTCTTCGGCTCCGTCTCATTCCTCATGCGCGTAGCACCCGGCACCGGCATCGTCTCCTCGGCCATCCTCCAATCTGACGACCTCGACGAAATCGACTGGGAATGGCTAGGCGGCCAAGCTGCCGAAGTACAAACCAACTACTTCTCCAAGGGCAACACAGCAACCTACAACCGCATGGCCAAAGCTGCGATTCCCTCCGGCAACGCCGAAACCGAGCTCCACAACTACACCATCTCGTGGACGCAGGACAGCATGCAGTGGATCATCGACGGCGGTGTCGAGCGCGAAGTCAAGTACGCCGACGTAAACTCTGGCTACGGGTACCCGCAGACCCCCATGAACGTCCGCATCGGTATCTGGGCAGGCGGCGACCCGGATAACTCGGAAGGCACAATTGAGTGGGCGGGAGGTCTTACGGATTTCGGAAAGGGGCCTTACTCGATGGTTTTGGAGAAGGTCGAGGTGATTAACCATGCGCCTGCGAAGCAGTACGAATATGGCGATTTGAGCGGAGCATACGGTAGCATTGTTGTGGATACCAAGGGTGACGGAAGCGGTGACAAGAGCAAGTCGAATGAGTCGTCGTCTTCCTCGTCTGCATCTGCATCTGCATCTGCGTCCGCGTCTGCTTCGGCGTCAAAGTCCATGACTAAGTCTGTATCTTCGTCTGCTACCGCCAGCGCTACCTCCTCGGCTACCACATCCGGTGCTAGCAGCGAGGGTGCGAGCCATGGAGCCAGCAAGACGGCGGCAGCGGCGGCAGCTGATCAGGCTGCTAGCACTAGCAGTGCGCTGCCGGAGTCCAATGGTGCGGGCGTTGAGAGCGTCACGTGGAGATACGTAGCGCTTATGGGCGCCGTTGCCGTTGCGTTTGCGATTTAAAAGAGAGTGAGAAAAATAGCGAAGCGATTTGTTTTATTTGCTGCTGTGAAATGTATATACCTTTGTTTAATACCCCAGTTGAGCGTTCAGCCGCATGTTCAGAAGAAAGAAAAAAAATCAATATCGTTTTGAATTTCTTGCATACTTACTCGAAAATTCCAACGTCTCTTTTGCGCAAATGAACTCATGAAAATCATTAAAATTAGTACGAGGAAAGTCTGATATTCCAATCAACTGGTTCCACATTAGTGGATTCCCAATCTCACTATTTCGATATGTCGTGTAATCTTACTCAGTGCGCTTTTCCCCCCTTCTCCCCGATTTAACTTTTCTCATCTCACACTCTTTTGATTTTAAGCGTCTTACTCATCCATCCGTGCCGCGCGATCTCATGATTAACTTTGGCCAGCACCACGTATCTCCGCTCATATGCAAACAAAAGAAAAGAAAAGGAACGAAAGGAAAGAAGATTGTCAGCGTTGATACGTACACTTGTCCTACGCAAATAGGATGGGATTCTATGTATCGCTCAGATGAATCAAACACCCAAGCACATCCACCCCCTTACCCTCCCCCACACCCGTCGTATCCCCTGTGCCCTGTCCTCCTGCCTCTTCACATCCACATGTACCCCCCTATCCATCTCTTTCCCATTTCTCGCTGCACGAGGCAAAATGTCCCCGTCAACTACAGAATCGCACCTCGAACCATCACAGTCTGTTTGCAGTGGCACTACTACTACCTGTGTCTGTTCCTCAGACGATGGGGCCTCATACTCCGGTGCAGACGGTGGCGGAGTCAAGTTTTTGAGAAAGACCCAGAGTGCAGGGCTTGGTTCTACAGGTTGCCAGCCACTAAGCCTGATTTCAGGCGTAGGTGATCTGGGTCGGTGCAGGGAGGGTTGGCAGGAGACGGGTGGAGAAGGCGGTTTGGCACAAGACTCGGATGTATTTTCTTTATGGTAAGAAGATGGGGAGCGGTTCACATCGGATTCACAGGGGAGCGATGTGTGGTGGCGGGCCCGCCGACTGGTGCTTGGCCTGCTTTTGAGCAAAAGAGTTGCTGGTCGAGACATGGTGATTTTAGTTGGATGTTGTCTTTTTTTTCCAAGTCTCGTTGTACACACGCCTCTCTATAACTATACCGGTGGTGGCCTATGTCGATCTCAAGTCTGGCTTATGGTCTCTGATATTTTGAGACTCCTACTTGTGATTCACTCGGGGTCTGTGTTCGTGGCGTCTGCAGTCTCTGTAGCGTGGGAGTCGCAGGATGTATCTTGGCCTGTGTTCGTAATATCTGAATCTGCTGCGATCTTGCAACGTGAAAGTTCGTGAGAAACGGAATACTGCACAAAAGAGCATCGCTTTTGTATGCTTGGACTGAATTCTTACACTGAAACTTCCATATTGAAACCATGGTTGAGATTTGGATTCCCTCATGACAAGTCGGAAGCTGCCCAACCGCAATGTCTGTAATTCAAACCACCCCCTTTCTGTTTACAAAAACATGATATCTTACTTTTAAACTGGCCAAACCTTTGCCAGAAAACCCCAGGTCATATCATAGTAAAACAGGTGCTGTCAAACGCCGGTTGACCCACAAATATACACAACGAATAAGGATGAACACAAAACATTAGCTATCCAGTTCAGCGACCCGATCTCGCCTTTGTTTGAGCTCTGCGCTCTTTCGTCGTTTCTGTCATAGTGTCAGTGTTCGCTATCAGGTCTATCTTTGAAATAAACTTACTCTCGTCGTATACCAAAAACTCATGTAGTGCACTACCAGCGGGGACCATGGGCAGCACAGGCACCTTTTGATCTGTCACAATCTCCAACAGGGCTGGGCCTTCGGTATTGAGCAGCCACTTGAGCGAATCCTCCAACTCGTCAAGCTTGATGCAGCGCTTGGCCTGAACACCCATGGCGTCACCGAGCTTGACAAAGTCGGCGTTGCGTTGATGAGTGTGGGAGAAACGGTCGGTGTAGAAGAGGGTTTGCCATTGTGTGACCATGCCCTGTTCCTCGTTGTTGAGAACAATGACCTTGACACCAATGTTGAACTCGGCCGCGGTCGATAGTTCAGTCAGAGTCATGCTGAATGAAGAGTCGCCGTCAATGTCGATGACCGTGCAGTCTGGTCGTGCAACCTTGGCACCAATGGCGGCTGGCAGACCATAACCCATAGTACCGAGACCACCCGAGGTGATCATGGTACGCGGGTACCGCCATCGGTAGTGCTGAGCGCACCACATTTGATGCTGACCAACACCGGTAGTGAGAATGGTTTGTTCCTTGCGGTCGGCTGTAAGATCTGAAAGCTTCTCCATTACAGTCTGGGGCTTGATCAACCCATTCTCGCCCTCCTTCTCATAGGCCCAAGGGAAGCGCTTCTTCCAGCCGGCAATTTGGCCGAGCCACTCGGGACGGTCATCGACCTTGTTTACTAAGGGTAGGAGCTGCTTCAAGTTTGTGCCGAGATCACCCTCCACAGCCTCAGTCGCTTGTACGACCTTGTTGATGTTCTTTGGCATAATTTCAAAGTGGATGATTCCTCCACGGCCCTCGGCTGCAGCAGCCTTGGCGGCAGGAGCAAACTTGGAGATGGCACCGGTAATGCGATCGTCGAAACGGGCGCCAAGAGCGAGGATGAGGTCGGCTTCCTGCATAGACATGTTGGCATAGGCTGAGCCGTGCATGCCCAACATGTGCAGAGACTTGGGGTCAAGCTCGTCGAAACCTCCAAGGCCTTGGAGAGTGGTAGTGACAGGTATGGTAGCCTTGTCAGCGAGTTCCTTGAGAAGGCGGGGGCCGTCCTCTGTTTGCAAGATACCCTGGCCAGCATAGATAACGGGCTTCTTGGCCATGTTGATCAGGTCGGCAGATCTCCTGATGGACTGGTCCAACTGCTGCTTGCTTAATTCCCTTGCGGCGATGGTGGCGGCACTAACGGTGGTGGGGAGGGTGCTGCTCATGGGGATGGCTCTTTGGAGAACGCTAGCAGTGACATCTTTGGGCAAGTCGACAAGAACAGGTCCTGGGCGGCCGCTGGTGGCAATCTCGAAAGCCTCGTTGATTCTCCTTGGTAGCTCGGCAACGTTCTTGACGAGGACATTCCACTTGGTGCAGGGCCTTGTGATGCCAACCATATCGGCTTCCTGGAAAGCATCTGAGCCAATTGCGCTGGTGACTACCTGGCCGCAGAAAACAACAAGAGGGGTTCCGTCCATGAGGGCATCCTGCATGGGTGTGACGACATTTGTAGCGCCGGGGCCTGAGGTGACGAGAACGACACCAGGCTTGCCACTTGCGCGAGCATAACCCTCAGCCATGTGGCCTGCGCCCTGTTCATGTCGTGGGAGGATGAAGTCAAAGTGCTTGGACTGGTAGATGGCATCGAAAACGGGGAGAATAGCGCCGCCCGGGTATCCGACTATTTCACATTAGTACAGTTTCAAGATGGTGGCCCGAGAAAAGAAAGAGCGGCGTACAGATGTGCTTGACACCCTGACGGAGCATCATCTCGTGGAAAATCTGGCCGCCAGTCATGCCGACGAATGAGTGGTCCATTGCGGGCGAGCGGTACTGCTTCAATGGCTGGACACTGTCATAGTCGTCGCGGTTGAAGGCGGGCGATGGTCTTGAGCGCGGTTGCGGTTGTGTGCCGGCGGCGGCAGTGCTCTGAGTTCGCTTTGCATCCTGGGGGGCAGCACTGGCAGTGAGGGCCTGGGCAGGCCTGCGGTAGGGCGAGAGGGCAGCTGTGTGTGGTGTTGTGGAAAAGCAGCGGGTGCGGTTAAGAGCATTGATAGCTCGCGTGCGTGACTGGAGCATGATGAAGGCGGGCGTCCACGCGGGGGACGAGATATGCAGCAGCGACACTCGGACGAAGAAAAAGAAAGAGAGCAAGCAGGGCAAGGGAGCGAGAAGGCGGGAGAGACGGGGTAATAATAAGCAAAAGCGTATTTGAGTCAAACCGTGTGGTCGCCGCTTGGGTCGACGGCCGGACAGAGTCGTGGCGCATCTGATGAAAAGTCAGTGGGGTCCGAGGTCGAGGCGGCCGGGGGCGTGATTGGCCCGTCCCCGCAGATGCACCGTCTGGTGCCGAACATCGGAGCCTCGTCTGCTGGCAACGGCACTTTGCCCACCACAACCTCGACCTCCACCAAGCCCCCCGGCTAGTCGTCCGGTGTGTGTTTGTTTACTAGCCTGAAATACTATACACAAGTGCATACATACACGCCCTCCTGCCCGTCGCTCCTCCGTGCCATGCAGGCCCCCGCACGACGAGGCCACGGGCGGGCGGCGTCGGGCCACGAACGCCGTCAAGGCATCGTCCGCCGCTCGACAAAGGGCCCCCTTGATGCCGAAGACGCGACCATGGACGAGTATGCCCTCTCCTGCGCCCATTGCCGTGTGAAGAAGCTCTCCCGACGACGACCTCGTGCTTACACGGCAATACAGCCCCCTGGCCGCCCCTCCAGCGCGTCCTGATGCTGCCCCGCAGCCTACGCCGCCTCCACAGCAGCAGCACAATCTACCCCCGGCCCGTGCCATTGACGACATGCCCTCCAAGGACTTCAGCTTCATGCAAGACCCCCAGGCCTACCACGTCCTGCCCGTCACAAACGTCCCCCCGCCCTTCCTCAGCGCTCCCCACGCCCCTCCTGTCTCGTCGCCCATAGACTCGCTCCTCTACTCGGGCCACTATCGCCTTGCTGCCGTTGCTGCCGCCCGCAACCTTGTCTCTGCTGCCCCGGGCGACCACGATACCCTCTTCCACCTTGTCCATGTGCGTCTAGCATGTCTCTGTCTGCTGCAGGAGCATGCCCTCGCTGCCCAGGAGTCTAAGGTCCTGGGTGATTTGGCCAGTGCCTTCTACCGACACCCCCTCACAAATGCCCATCTCGTACCTTGGGAGCTGCGACTCTTGGTCGTCCGACTAGCTGCCCTGGGCTATGGCGAGTGGCGCAAGGGCATCATGGGTTATTACGAGCTTGCGCGTGAATGCAGAGAAAACATCGTCAGGGGCCCAGAGTCTGAAAAGCAGCTATGGAGATCACGGTTGCGCGACTGTGGCATCCGTGTTGCAAATGTCTTGGTGGAAATGGGTGACCTTGAGGGAGCTGGCCGCCACCTATCCACGCTGGCAGCCGACGAAGAGCAGACGAGAGAAATTGCCCTCATGGAGACGCTGGTCTGGTTGCGCGTGGGCCATGTGCAGGCAGCCCGTCGTTGTCTGGCTCGCGCCTCGGAAGCTTCCCCAGATGAGCTCATCGATGGCACTCTCAACGCTCTTATCGAGCTTGCAAACTCCGACTACCAGGCTGCCGTAACATCGCTGCAGGCCCTTCGCGAACAGTTTCCGGATGACGCCATGGTGGCCCAAAACCTGGCCGTGTGTCTGCTCTACACTGGACGTATCTCGGATGCAAAGGACATCCTGAACGACTTGGTTGACACCAGTCCACCATTCCATTCCCTAATCTTGAACCTAAGCACCGTTTTTGAGCTTTGTACAGAGCGGAATCGCGACAAAAAACTGGCCCTGGCTGAGAAGCTCGCCAGTCGGAAAGAAGGCGCTGGTGGTGTAGGCTGGGAACTCACCAACGCCGAATTCAAATTGTAGTAGTTTAGCGAGTGATCTGGATACCCCCGATAAAACATTTGATCAGATACATTTTCATATCAATCATTTCTCTTCAGCCCGCATCCTCGTTCCGCTCTCTCTTTGGTCCTCGCAAGTCCAGAATATCTGATAGTTTTATATGACCCTTCGCTCCCCAACCCGCGGTCCCCTGAGCCACTTCGGGTCGAACATGGACGTACCATCCCCACGCACGTCTGTCCAATTCTTCTTTGCTCAGTATGCCTACCCAAGACTGATACAACAGTTCCAGTGCCCCTAGAAGCAAACCCAGGCTCCGTTTCTTTTCCGCTCTCGTAGCATCTGCACTTTTCTTCGCCTTCGCTTTTGCTTTCGTCGGCACATCGCCTTCTTGCTTGATCCCATCTTCTGGCGGCCTGTCAAATGCCTGCAGAAGATATGACCTAGGCCTTTGCGCTGGATAGATCGGCAGGTTTCCCGGCCCGCTCTTGGAGTGCGTCGAACTACCCGGCTGGTTGGCTTGCTTCAATGCCTCTAGATCGACAGCCCATAGCGCAGCCTCCTTTGTTCTTTCCTCGCCTGCTGCACCGGGCAAAGAATTGGCTGTTCGCTGAGTTCCGTAGCCTTCGTCCTCCCACTCGTACCCCCACCGCTTCATGACCCGTATGTCGCGCGTCATGATGCGCATAACCGGCTGTCCCTCACCCCACCCTTCTTCTTCCGCAGGCCGCCCCTTGTCCAGCCCAACGTGCACAGCTTTCGTCTTGCTATTCATGGATGTGACTGCTTGGGCGAGACTCAACCTACTCGAGATTGGCTGCTCAGGCATCGTGTACTTTATCAATGTAACAGCAAATGCAAGCAACAAAGGCGCGCGATTGGTGTATAGCACCGTCGCCTTCAGCACCTCTTCGTTCGTCTCTGCTTCCGGTAGTGCAAGCTCCGCCTCGAGCTCCGCACCACTCAGTGGCTGGCCAAACGTCGCTTTCGCCTTCGCCTTCTTGACCGGCGACGGCGCAGATGCCGCTGTAGCGTCATCTTGATCTGCAGCCGTCCGTTTCTTGGATACTCGTTTTGCCGCATTGAGGCATTGCCGCGCTGCCTTCTCGTCCCCAAAAATGTCCTTGAGCGTTGCGAAATCGGCTTTTGATATGTCCAGAGCGCTGGTACCGTGCGTTTGGCGTTAGTGGGGTGTCAAAACGCGGTGTTACGCTGTCACGTGCTTACGTGTTGAGACTCGCTGCTTGCAGATCAGGCACCTTGCAGATGGCCTGCTTGAGAGGGACTTTGGCCTCTTGGCTGAGGAAGCGAAGGAGAGCGGGGATGTCCCGTGCAGAAGCCATGGCGGGCGCTTTGCTCTACCAGACTGTCTTGCTCGTCTGTGTTGTGATGGGCATGACGTTGTGGGATGTCAGTCCGGGATCTTGAAAGTTACCGGCTGTCGGGATGGACGCGCTAGTTTGCATCTCTCATGGTCCTGTCGCAAGCTCAACCTTGACACTTGCACACTCACCCCTCGACACCTCATGTCGCACTAACCCTACGCAATCTCAGTTGCATCTCAAGCATGGCTTTCAAGTTCTCTCTCGGCGGCGCCAAAGCCAACAAGGCGCAATTAAATTCAAAGGCCAAAGAAGATGAAGAAGCAAAGGCACGGGAAGAGAAGAATGCGCTCGACAAGGTCATGGCAGAGTTCGAGGCAGAGCATGGGGGCGAAAAAAGCGTGCTGGGCGAGTCGGAACGCGACCAGGAGGCCGACGATGTATTTGTTCCAACTGGAAGTAAAAGGCACTTTACGGGCAGACAGCGGACCATGAAAAGCGGCCCTGGTACACTCGACGCTGAGCCTCTCGACGGCTACCCAAGGCCGGGAGTTACCCCGGGACGCCCTGCACAGCAGATGCTGTCGCGATTTGGTGTGTCGGCATCTACCGGCCCTGCTGCGCTGGATGGCCCAAAGCCGACCGAGAATGTATTTACGACCGTCGTAGCAAAAGCATCGAACCTCCCGCCTGCCATTGATCCACGCCGGGTAGAAGAACTCTTTGCCGATTTCCCATCACTAAAAATTACACGAGTCGAGAAGATACCACCTCAGGGCCCGTCACCCAAAGGACGGCCATCTGCAACCATGAAGGTCATATTCGACAAGGATGCTAGTGCGCGCGACTTGGACGATGCTATGAACAAACTCAACGACAAAAAGTATCTAGGCAAGGGTTACTATCTACATTTGGACAGATATCTGGGCGGCCGCTCGGCGGATACAGCACAGCGGACAGAGCCATTTGGCGCTCGATGGCAGGCGCCTGAGATCCCAAAGGGTTTTGCACCACCCCCCGATCTAGGAGGTGGCGGTGGGAGAGACAGACCTCGCGAAGACACCGAGCAACTCATTGTCACCGCCAACCAGCCCCCAGACATTGCGACGCTAAGACTAGTGCACCAAACTATAGAGGGCGTGATACTGGGCGGTATGGAGTTTGAGGCTGCATTGATGAACGATGCGCAAATACAAGAAGAAGAACGCTTCGCTTGGCTCTATGACCAAAAGCACCCTGTGAACCGCTACTACCGATGGCGCTTACACCAGATTGTCTGTGACAGTCCGAATCCAGAGATATTCGAGCGCCAGGGTGACTGGCGCGGGCCTATAGATCCCCTTGCCGACGAGTTTGCCGACCACTTGGGCGCATTTGATTCAGAAGATGACATGATGGATAGTGATGACGAAGACGAGAAGGAGAAGCCACAGTACAAGCCTCTTCCAGTTGGGGATAATTATCCGGGACGGGTTGATAATGGGCACGGCATCATGAGTCCTCGGTCAAGAGCCATGCTGCTATGGTTGCTCACGTCCCTTCCGCCTGGTAGCATTGTTGCCGACGACATTGCTGCCATTTCAAACTTTGCAGTCGAGCACGCTGGACAGGGCATGGACGAAGTGGTGCACATTCTTGTCTCAAACATCATACGCCCCTTCCAGCTCACAGATACCAATCCGAGGAACAGGCCGGCGGATGCAGACACAAAAGATGACCTTCGCCGACCCGATACCCGACAGGTGACGCTGAACGCATTACGCATTGTTTCAGATGTACTTCTTGTCACGGCAAAAGAGTCTGGAGTGTCGTACAAGTATCGTCTTGCGATAGCTACAGAGCTTGTGGGCCGCAAGGTGTTTGAGCATCTTGAGCAGCTACCTTCGCAACTAGAGATGGGCCGGATGACTGAGAGAAGCTACCGGGATGAAGTCAATGTCATTCTCAAGGTCTGGCAGGACGAGCATTTGTTCGACGAGGCGACACTTGGCCATCTTGACGAGGCGTTCAACGCGCGTGAGAGGCAGAAGGAGGAGGAGGAGCAGGCAAGGCGATTAGCAGAGAGGAGGAAACGGAAGAGCAATGTAGTCCGCAAAGCGGTTAGTACTGGCGGTGAAGATGGAGACGAGGATGATAAGATGCATGTCGATGAAGAGACAGGCAACGATGGTGCCGAGGGCGACATGGATCAAGCATTGGGCGCGGAGGCAGAAGAGGCGCCCGTGGCTACAGACGCGGTTGAGCCCGCGGTTGCACAAGCTGAGGCCGACGTGATTCCCGGGGAGACGGCGGTAGCAAGGGCTCGCCGGTTGCGGCCGAGGGCGGAGGACATGTTTGCGCTGGACGAGGACGAGTGATGAGGGGAGTGGAGGCGTGGGGATGGCGTGAGACGGCTGCCGACGGGGTGTTTTAGGGTGTTGACTTGAATGTGCATGTACATATACGAACAAGCTGGGAGTAGGACCGTGAGGGCTGTGGTGATGTGCTTGGATGGATGGAGTGTAGTGGGCCTGCAGAAGCAACACAGGCGCCATGCCGCTAGCACGACGAAGCCCGCCCTGGATCGCCGTCCAGCATGATGGCCGATTCGATGTGCCGGGTGAAGACATGGTGATGGCACAGAGACGTCGTGGAGGCGCGTGAATTCGATGGCGTTTTGGAGATAGCTGGCGGTGGCGACGTGATTGGCCCAAGGGGGCGCCCGTGGAGCGCCGTGAACATGGTGGGACCGCCCGCTACGGAAGCTCTCCGCCTAAACCAACAACACAGACACTTGGAGTTGCTACCTCACACCGCCTCGCCGCCCTTTTCGCCTACTTACTCGCGCAGGTGCCCCTCCGGCAGCGGCTTACGTCCGCAGGGATATTTTCTCCCTCCATTCATTCTCTGCCAAGACCAGCGCTCTTCCGCTGCCATCGCCGCAGCTTCACGCCGCCCAGTCCTCCCCTACCACCACTTGCTCTCCCTCTCTCGCCGCCCTCGCTGCCCCCACACACGCCCGCTGCCCACCATGCCGACCTTTTTGGGCCTGGCGGTCTCGATACACGCCGACTCCAACCCGCTGCCCGAGTATTCCATCCAGAAGCAATCAAAGTACCACCGTATCACGTCGTATATCCCCGTGCCCCCAGCAAAGATCCCCCCCGGCGCCACCAAGCCCGAGCAGTCGTCTTTTGCAATCTCCATCACTCTGCTCACCCCAGGTCTGCACGTCCCGTACTCGACCCCCAAGCCCACGCCCGAAGAACCCAACCCCAAGCCCAAGATTGTGGGCGGCCTGCCCGGCCAAACTGGCGAGCGGGGCAAGTACAGTCCCACGATAGCCCCGTACAAGCCCCTCACCACCTCGCCAAACGAAACCATCGCCGCATACATCTACTTTGACGGAAGGGCAAAGGAGGAGGTTGCGACTCTGCTGCGCCGTGGCGAGGAGACGTGGGTCAATTCACGGTGGGTCAGCGTACCAGAGTCAGAAGGTGGGGGACTCGCCGAACGCGAGTTTCTCTTCCGCGAGGTCGGACTCGAGCGATGGCTCAATGGCCTTGATCTCGAAGGCAAGGACAAAGACGTGGCTGCAAAGATTGAGCGGAGAAAGCAACGCCTGGAGAAGAAGCGGGCGAAGCGGAGAGAGGCCATGAACAGTAGTGATGAAGAAGACAAAAAGCCCTCCACCAACGGTGTGCTGCGCTACAGCGAAAGCCAGGACGCGCCTGTCGAAACTCTCTCTGGCAATGACGAATTCTTCACCACCGACTCCGACTCGGAAGACGAACCCCCTATGCCCGAGGCCGCAGGACAAATCAAGGTTGCCTTGTTCCGTGTTCTAGCGTCTGGAGAGATTAAGCGTGGCGAGTACTCGCCGCAATTCGACGCACACGACGATGACGAACAGAATGGCGGAGAGGGTGACGATGTCGACCACACTACAAGTTTTGCGAAGCCCAAGACACTGGATCCCAAGTCCATTAGCACCCAGACTGTGACCGGTATAGATCCTCCGGACAAGCCCTACGCTGTCTTCACCTTCTTGTACCGCGGAGAGCGTAAGTTGCAAAATTTATAGATAAGAGTGAATACACTAACCCCGAACAGGCCAGTTGCGCAAGATGGGAATTCTGACCAGCAAGGAGCCGGCCAAGGTCACTTCGCCAGCCGCCAAGCGAAAGTCAGGAACACTCGACTTTGGCAGCCTCAAGCCCCTTAACGCGGATGCTGGAACTAAGAACTTTGGTGGCTACCGGGAAACATCTCCAAAGTCGAAGAAAAAGAATCAAGACGCCATGGACAGTGACGTAGACGATGAAGACGATGTCAAGGTGGAAGATATGGATGACGACAAAGATTTCATTGACAAGGGCCTACTATCGCCAGAAGATGCTTTGAAACAGGGCGAACTTGCAGAGGGTGTACGCAAGATCAAGGTATGTTAGCTAGTTGCAAGATGTGGTGCGCGATGCTAACACTGCACAGCTCAAACGTCAACACTCGGCCGAGCCGGTGGGTCGTCCCGCAGGTGCTTCAATCTCAGACGCTTCCGGATCTCCTCTATCTGGCACGCCAGCGCCCGATGCTTCATCTTCAAACAATGCCTCGACCTCCACACCTACAAACTCGTCAGAAAATAATTCCTCGAACCCGCTTGCATCGCCCTTCAAAAAGCAACGCGCCTCATTACCGGGATTTGATGAGAGTGTCCGTAAGAGCCTTGGCCAAGCGTTAATGGGCGCCCAGAAAGAGCGAGGGAACTCTGATGGCAACATTCCTACTATTGAATCCAAGATGGAGGAAGACGAAGAGTTGTAGATATTGGGGAAACATTCGACGTCCCAGCATGCATTTGGGCGGTGCAACGACTTGTTATCATATTTTGTCTCTGACCTGTTTGCGTTTTACGCCGTGACGTTTTGTAAGCCACGCGACATTACGAGCTCCCCAAGTGGATACCGGCCGAGCATCCATTTCATCCAAGGCGCACATTATTTCGGACCGGGAAAATCCGAAATAAGACGCGGGCCAGTGGTGGTTGGAATGTTGGGATACCCAGTTCTATTTGGTGAGAGATATTTTTCTTCTTTTACGGATTGATGGGTAAACACTTGTACACGAGGAATGGGCTTTTTGTTTCTTATATTTTGATGCCTCGACTTCTTAACGAAGACGGATGTGTGACGGCATTAGTAACGGTAGATGAAATGAGTATGAGAAATCGATGTGATGACAACACTGACATAATTTTGTGTTTTGGGTGCGTGATTTGAATCACATTTCATGCATCAGAATTTCATTTTTTTTCTTCTCATTTTTTTGAGATTTACATTATGTACTAGTAGGTTGCCATCCAGCAATATCTAAAAGGCTACCAATTGCCTCTACACGTTTCTTTTCAGCATTTTTCCCTTGCACTTGGACATTCTGTATACCTTTGCCTAACCCCTGATCGCGCCGCAGCAACAGCGCACCCCACCCCGCTCCTTTTGCACCTAGATAATCCTTGTCTAGATCATCGCCTACATGGAGTTTTTCAAAGTCACTTGCTTGTAGACCTGTTTCCTGCGCATCAACTCTGCTTGATAAGACGTCGCTGAGCATTTCTTCTGCAAGGGAGAAAATCACAGGGTGCGGTTTTTCAACGCTTGCGTCGTAGGACAGGAGTACAAAATCAATATCCTGATCCTGTACAACCGTGTTCACTTCTTTTGTGCTGTTGTTGTTGTTGTTGGTATACCGGCGAGATGCCACGTCCAAGCCAAACGAAGATAAGACGGATGGAATGCGATCATCCGAGTTTGTGATTATGCCCACAATAGTCGTGTCCCATGGCCACGAGGATGAGTGTCCTTGTTTTGCATTGCGCAGCATGCTAAACAAAGGTCTGACATCGTCGAATACTGTGTATCCCTTGCTTGACGAGTAGTGTTCAAGGAGTTCGCTGGTGAGTTCCTCCGAAACTGTCTGGCCTTGTTGCAGGAATGGGGCAAAAGTGTCTTGGATAATGGTTTTCCACCATTTTTCGGGGCTGAGACCTACGGTGGATTTGCCGTAGTTTGGGTATTTTTGAGACGTGTTTTTGAATGAAGATTTGAAGCTTGATGCTAGGCTTTGGATAGAGGGAATTTGGATCCCGTGACGAGTTGCTGCTTGTGCGTACGCAGTTGGGATGGGAGTGCTAGGGGTGAAGAGAGTGTCGAAGGCGTCGAGGCAGAGGAGAAGGTTCTTTCGCTTAGAGGGCAGCATTATAAAAATCAATTGACTAAACTCGCGGTATAAAAGCTGGTTCTCTAATCTTCGTAGGCATGCAAGACTGGTGATCCAGATCTTGTAGTGCGGTCGTGGAGTGAGGATATGGACCAAACGGGTTAGGTCAGGGTCCTCGCGTTGCAATGCAATGCGGACACGATCACCTCGGCGATCATCCCTCAACTTCGAACAATCACAACGCTCAACTCCAGTCGCTCGTTCTTCCAATTCGCAATACAGCACCTTTACCATGGCACCTGAGGCGAACAAAAACAAGTACTCCGTACTCTTGCCTACATACAATGAGCGCCGCAACCTCCCTATTATAACATGGCTGCTCAACAAGACATTCACCGAGAAGTACGTTCCTACCATTCCCCCCTCGTTCCTCATACCTCTCGTTCTTACTAACCCTGTCTCGCAGCAACCTCGATTGGGAACTTATCATCGTCGACGACGGCTCTCCAGACGGCACCCAAGAAGTCGCTGCCCAGCTCCAAAAAGTTTACTCCCCCGAACGCATCCAGATCCGCGCACGCGCAGGCAAATTGGGTCTCGGCACGGCCTACGTTCACGGCCTACAATTCGCAACCGGCAACTTTGTCATTATCATGGACGCGGATTTCTCCCACCACCCCAAGTTCATTGCACCCATGATTGCCCTCCAAAAGACAAAGAACTACGACATTGTCACCGGAACGCGGTATGCGGGCAACGGCGGCGTCTACGGCTGGGATCTGAAGCGCAAGTTTGTTAGCAGGGGTGCGAATCTGTTCGCGGATACGGTCCTCAGGCCCGGTGTGAGTGATCTCACGGGCTCTTTCAGGCTGTACAAGAAGGAGGTTTTGCAAAAGGTTATCCGGAGCACAGAGAGCAAAGGATACACGTTCCAGATGGAGATGATGGTGCGTGCAAAGGCTATGGGATGCACGGTTGGCGAGGTTCCAATCTCATTTGTTGATCGTCTTTACGGCGAGAGCAAACTTGGCGGCGATGAGATTGTAGAGTATGCCAAGGGCGTGTTGAACTTGTGGCTGAAGGTATAGAGGGCAAGAAATGGTTGATTGGCGTTGAGTGATGTGGGATGGGTCTCAAGATATCCTAGGCTGATCTGGACTGGGCTGGGCTAGGTGAGAGCTATGACACTAACCTTGAATCTTTCTTTTTCTTTGTGTGTCTTGATATAAACTTTTTGAATGATAATTTTCTCATCGCCGTAGGCTTCATCTTGTACAGCGCCTACGAGCCTTCTCCCATTCTTAAGCATGCAAACAAAACCTTTTTTGGATCCGATATCACATCAATTCTAGATGCTCAACCCAATTCCTCCATAGGAAATTACTATACTCATACTCGACCCCATATCATTCTACGAGCCCCAACGCCCGAATCACCTCACCAAACTGGAACAACTCCTTCCGCACTACCTCACACGGCTTTTTCTTCTTTTGCATATCTTTCCTCAAGACATCAACTGTCGCACTGAGCCCCTGCATCGTCTCCAGCATCCCTAGCGCTGTCTCCAAAGTATTCATGTGCAAAGTTGTGGCAGCGACGGCTTCTTGCACCACGGTGTGGAAGAGGTCGCGCGTGCTGATTGCTAGCGGGGAAGTGGAGCAGTGAATCCATGGATGCGGGGGCAACGATGCATTTATTGAGCTTGAGCCTGAGGAGCTCAAGGTAGTTGATGATGTGAAGGAAGTGGTGGAACACGAGTCGTACGAGGTATGTCGGTTTCTGTGCTTTCTGCCGGTGTCGTTGGCGCCTGACATCTCTTCATCACGCCATGTTGGTGGTTTCGCGCGATTAGTGAGGGTTTTCGAGGACGAGAGACTCGTTAGATTTCTTGTTGCGGAGAGGAGCACTGCGTGTGCTTTTTCGGTACCTGAGGGAAAGGAATCCACGCTTGAAAATGTAGCGGAGGAGGCTGTCTCGTACTACTTGCTGAGTTGGTTCGCGGGCAGTTAGGATACTAAGATGTTGGGAGATGACTGGTGTAATGAGGATAAGGAAATTAAAATGAAGGGGATTGTAGGGCACAGAGATTTTTAGCGAAAGAATCAAGTAGTATGGTGGTGAGTGGATGGCGTTGGTGTTAAGAGACGAGGTTGTTTACATATACCCAAACAAGACACTTTTTGCAGAGCACCTCAAGTCTAAGCTGCAACATAGCATGAAAGTGAAGCAAGATTTTTCGTCGCTGTGCGTGTTAAGAGTTCGATCCGTGACTCAGGGCTTTAGTGCTTCATCGACTCAGACATGACAATTAGGGAGACATCTCCATACACGGGCTTGCTACAGAGTGGGAAACCACTAGCTGTGTTCTTTCTCATATGACAGAAGCATCCGGATACCTATCTGAACTGACAGTCGATATCTATTTGGACGAAATGACAAGACTGTGAAGCGACGAACAAGGGTTTATGGTTTCCCAATGTTGGGAAAGGGCTGACAACCGAGTAGTAAGGTTCAGACCCACTAGAAACTGGGGACGCGACAGTATTGTACAAGAAGACATGGGGTACGCGATGTAGATTACGAAGCATGATAATGGGGTCGGTCAACAGTACACGTATGCTGTCAGGACACCGATGTCCCAGCAAAGAAAGCTCATACCGCGAGCCAAAGCCTCGTTTTCGATGATTCTCGATGAATTCACGAAGTTAATAGTGTCGGTATTAATATACCGGCTAATGGTTACTAAGTTTCAGCAATGCCCGCCACGAACTAGTTTGAATGACAGAAGCTAGATATCTGCCTAGGCTGGGTGGTCGTTGCAACCAGCGATAAATCCTTCCAAAAGTGCTTTACCATCTGACGAGGTGAGTCATAGCCACAGCCGCGGAAGACTACGAGAAGTACCAACTAGTGTTACCGGGGCGTAGCCTAAAAGGTAGTGATCGCATAAGTGGGCCGCAACATGGGTTGATTCCGCGGAACGGAAAGCGGTGCACATGCAGCATGCAGACATCTAGCCAGATGATCTGAGACAGGGATATAAAGCTGGAGAATGGCAAGATAAGGTGCATCGTAGTGGGGCAGAGCCGTAAAGTCACAGTGTAGTTCATGCACCCCTGTTTAAGTAGGGGAAGTAGTCTCTCATGACCCACCCTGGATCTCCGTCATCTTCCAACTTCATACAACCTATTCTTGAATCATATGAGGATCAATCATCCCAATATAGAAATATGCTTGGCGAAAAACCGTTAGTGTGCAGTGAACCTCGCGCTGAACCAAAAACGGTTCTTTACGCTAACTCTTCACACAGTGTCCGTTCCTGCCTAGTTTCATGCGATTAACACCTTCCTAAAAAACTAGTCTCAAACAGTTGATTCAGATTCGCGCGGTTGACTGCATTCGATACAATCTTGAAGGTGTTGAGCAGGGAAGCGCGGCTGAAGATTTTGATAATCCACTTGACAAGTGACTGATAGTAAAGGATTTTGTTAGCATTACCTCAGTGTATTTTGACGTGTTTGTAACTCATAACTCTGTGCTTTTTGGTGAAAAATATGTCATTTGTTCATTAGAAAATAACAAAGACGATGTTGGAAACAGAGGTTATCCCACTCGAAACTGTAAAAGTGCAAATTTAGACGCCTTTTTGAAAACCAACTCTAATAAACCCTTGTTCCCACTTGTCCCCGCGCCAGAGATGACCCAAAAACCCAAAAACCCAATACATCTTAGAAATTAGAAGAAAAAAAAGACAACCCCATCTACGAGTCGAAAATAGCACCATAAGCTGGAATGCCTCTGGCCTCCATATCGTACACAATCTTGGTCGTAAACTTCTTGTTGCTGATCACACAAACGGCTTCCGCTCCACTCTCCCTCCATAGCTGGTACGCTATTAGGGACATGTTGGGCTTTCCTTGTGTTCTCGTATTCCAGATCACTGCTTGTGAATCTGTAGCTTTGACGCTATCCACAATCTTTTGACCAAATGTCTGTTCAGGGTTTGGCGCAGTCCACAGGATACGACAAGGTACCTTTCGAGCCAGGATGACAGCCAGGCATGGTCCGATACCTGATCCTGTTGCGACAAGGACGACTGACTTGAAGAGCGTGGCTATGCGTAGAACACCACAAGTCGGGATACCACGAACGTAGATATGGGTTGGTGCGCGCTCAATTGTGCGGCCTGTAAAGTCACCTGCGCGGCTCACAATAAGTGAGAATCCGTTGCCTTCAGGATTGGTAATGGTTGCAAAGCCATGCCAGTCGATCAAGGGACGTTCAGCAAGTCTAACAGCAGTACCGACAACGGGAGTCGTGTAATCGAACCAAAGCCGGATGGCATGGTTTGATAGAACTTCGGAGCGAACGGGCACTTTACGTAGATGCAACCATGGGAAGATGATAGCTGCTGTCGCGACGGAGAGAAGCCAAATACCTGGGGAGCGCAAATAGGCGGTTGCTATCGGCAGCTCGGGATTAAGATCCTTGGTTGCGAGAAATGTAAGTGTCCAGAGTAATGCGAGACAAGTCCAACCACCGAATCGATGGGTCATCTCCCATAGGTTGTGGTATTTGACGCGGAAAGTTGGATGCGAAGTCGATCCTATCATGAGCAAAATGAGAAGCGCAAGCCACGACACTACGACCGGTGCTACCGAGATTCGACGCATGTATGTCGGCTTTGCGATATCCACGGTGCTGTCGATGGTGAATATGAAATGCCACATTATGGCGGCCATTGCACACCCGCTGTGAATGCCGCCAATGTGGAAGATTCTAGCACACTGGCGTCGTATAGCTAGAGGAAAGAAGGTCTGTAGATTGAGATTTTCAGTCAGTGATCATGTCATGCTTGCATAAAATACAGTGGTTACTTACCGGAACAGAGCAAAAGACGGTAAAAAGAAGGTTGACGACCGGCTCCGAGCGCATAAGGACTGCTACAACGAGATTGGCAGCTGTAGCTAGCGACAAATTGGCGAGAATGTCCTTGTTTTCTCCGATCCTGCGGTGCAAGAGAAACACAGCTACCCCGATGTTCGCTAGTATAACAACAGACAGAAAGCGGCGGTATAGAATAAGCCCGCGGTGTCGAACCCAGCGGAGACCGTGGTAACTGTTCTTCGGTGGCAGGGCTTCTGGTAGTTTCTCAGCCAAATCTTCTGCGGAGATGCCGAGCTCAGAATCGCCGCTAGTAATGATGACGGCGGACTTCTCTGGATCCTTGAGAGATGCAGTGGAAGATCCACCGGAAGAATACGTCTCCACATTGACGCTGACCAGGCTCGGCTTGAAAGTTTCTGTGAACTTCTCGTTCGTAGGTGTGTGGCTAGACTGGGCAGAAACCAGTTCTCTCAGAACTTTTCGATCAACTTTTCCGTTATTTGTCAGTGGTATGGAGTCGACCTTGACCCATTTCTCTGGAACAGAGTAATAGGGTAGATGCTTCTGGGTGAAACTCTTGAGAGCTTCTTCGTCAACCGAACCCTCTGTTGCATAAAAAGCGCAGAGTGCGTTCTCAACGAGCATTGCTGCACCTCGTCTTACATTTTGGAACGACTAGTTTTGTCAGCAACCTCATAAGACGGGCAAAATATGAGTTATTTACCTCAACGACGGCTGTGATTCCGTCAAGCTCGACACGGAAACCCTTGATCTTTACTTGGTCATCTTCACGGCCGAGCATATCAAGTGAACCATCCTCCCTCCATCGTGCGATGTCACCGGTGTTGAACATTCTTGACCTGCGCTGTGTAAGTCCAACATGATACCAATAATATTCCGTCAAACATACCCATCATTGACGAATTTGTCATGTTTGTAGCGACGAGCAGTGAGTTCAGGCAGATTGATATAGCCTCGAGTCACACCAGCTCCACCAACCCACATGGTTCCCTTTTGCCCCACAGGAACTGGTTGCTCGTCTGCATCGAGAAGATAACATGTTGTGTTGGGCAAGGGTTTTCCAATGGACAAAAATTGGCCTGGGGTATGGCGATGTGCTGAGTTTAAGATTGTGATTTCCGTTGGCCCGCAAATATTGTAGAAGCATGCGTTTTCAGCCCACTCATCAGCCAGTCTACCCAACCGTTAAAACCGTTCACAGTCAGCTTCGAAAAAGAAAACTCACGCTTTTGGGCAAGGCTCGCCGCCTGTCACGACATATTTGATGTTTGGAAAAGACTGTCGACGGTACTTTGACAAGATGGATGGGGTGGAAATTAGTGTATCGACCTAGGGCTCGGTTAGTACGTGATTGGTCAGATTTGGTGGTTAAACGGAATCGCTCACCTCACGGAGTGTGGCTGTCCAATCTGACCCCCGCAAATACAGGGTACCACCATTCATAAGACATGCCAATATTTCCCATGCTCCTGGCCACTTGTTAGGTAACTTTCTCCGAAATTTCTTATAGAGCTTACCCATGTCGAATGCGATGTTGAGTACTTGGGCAACTTTGGACCCCACGGTAATATCAAGTCGCGCTGGGTTTAACAACAAAGCGTTTGTGACATTGGAATGCGCAACATCGACACCTTTAGGTGTACCAGTACTGCCTACGTAGGATTAGCAAGGAATGGCTCATTTGTATTGTGAATTAACTTACCGGATGTGTATATCGCATATGCACCATCATGTTGGGAAACTGGGACTGATGGGCGTGTCGAAGGAAAAGAGGCACCAACGTTCGCTTCTAAAGCAATGATTACTGCATCTTGTTTGGCGACCTTTTGTGTTCTTTCGACAAATTTGGGGAGGCATAGAATGAAAGTTGCACCAGAGTCGGAAAGTATGTGTGTCAGTGCAACCTCTGATGCCACTCCGCCATCAACCGGTACATATTGACATCCTGCTTTCAGAATAGCAAAGATACCAATCAACATCTCAAACGAGCGTTGCACAACGAGGCATACTCGTTGCTTTGGTTTCAATCCCGTATGGATGAGACGATTGGCGAGCTGGTTTGCTGCTTCATCCAACTGCTGGTACGTAAGTGAATTGCCAGCAAAGGTCGCGGCAACGGTATGTGGGTGAGTTTCAGCGATTTTTTCGAATGCCTCATGGACGACAGAGTGTGGGACTGGGACAGTTGGTCCTTGACCAAAGCTGGATATCCGTCTGCGATCCTCCTCAGGGAGGCAGGACATTGCCTGAAAGCAATTGTTTGTCTTCATGTTGAGAATTAATGAATTAAGGTAGAAGGACAGAGAGTTCTCATGCTATTCAAATGCTCATGTCGTTGCCAGAGCCCTCCCTTTTGTATTAAAGGGAGGGGACGTTTCAAACACGGCAAGTCAACTCGGAGCAAAACCCTACTCGTATACACCTGTGGGTGGCAATACCTTGGATCCACAAGGGATTTCCGTGTGATCATGCTATATGACGCAAAATTTCATCGTAAATTGCCAGGTGAGGGTTGCACTGAAGTTTCTGGGGTGTCTTATCGAAACACTATGAAAATCTCTTGGACAGTTAATATCAGGCGAATATTCTCGGACGACCTCGATCTGGGCGGATTCGTGCTATACGCCGGTACAATGTCAAGAAAAAGTTAGGAACCTACGGATTGATAGCTCAAAGTAGAAAAGAGTCTACAAGCAGGACACCAAGCACAAAACGAAACTGATGCGGGGCCACTAAAACGACCTTCACAAGAACGGACTGCGTGTGCATAATGCTCTGAGCCACCGCAATGGTGCGGTTTGAGCGACATGACTGGATGTTCCTAGAGGTAGCTGCAGCCGTTATTCAGGTGGCAATTTACAGATGCGTGTTCCCAAGGCAGACCTTGTTTTACTCCTTGAGGAGGTCCCGAAGCTAAGGTTACCTTCCGGTTAGGATGTGACAGCCGAAATGTTTCAGGGATAGCCTTGTAGCTACTTACGTCAAGTGGGACGGATACCTGCACTGGGGTCTAAGCGAGGCCATGTGCGGCTGCACCCTGAAACTAATTGCTGGGGCTTTTGTGGCTCTGCCCCGAATCACGAACGCTCGATCTGTCAATGCGTTAGCGAGCGTTTTTCAACCTGGCCTACGAAACATGGATATAATACGTACCGCACCATCTACCCGATCAGATCCGATTGTGAGATAACATATTAAGCGATTGCCTCGGTCTTGCTGGCCGAATGATCGTGTAGTCCCGAAGCATGAACGGACTTGCTATTCCCAGAATCTTCGTAAGTAAATGAAGGGGGTGGGGGGTCCAGGGGCGGAGAGCGGCGGTAGAAACCATATCAGGTTGAATTGTAAATATGGAGTTGGGTAGCAGGGGCTGGCCTTGTGACGAATCATGCAGAAGAAATGCTTTTTTAGTGTGGGTAAAGATGAAACTAACCGCGTGGTATATGAAACCAGCCAAGTAAGTACCTCAAGAAAAACGGGTAATGCACCCGGCTACGCCCACGCAGCTGTGGATTGGAGGTTTTATGCAGTACCAAGCATGGCATCTATAGAGGTGGAGCCGGGTTGGACCACGTGGGGACTAGAAGTCAATTTTGGTCCTTAGCCAAGTTTGATTTTCCTGGTTATTCTCTCAAAAGCTCTAGTGTTTTGTATAAATCCAACTCTGTGAACTATGATAGCCCAATGATATAAGGAAGAAGGATTCTTGACTACTTGGAAAATCTCTTATCGCCCCAACGGTTAAAAAAACAAAGTACATGTACAGACCTAGCGCCACATTTTGCTAAAAGAATCCGAAACTCACATCAACGAGCGAACCATCTAGAAGCCATGAGCCTCCCGATCGCAGAATCGCCGAGTCTCATCGTGTCCATCAAGGACGATGGAATCGCCATTCTGGAACTGAACAGACCGAAAAAGAGGAATGCATTGTGCCAGGCTTTGATGGATGAGCTGATCGCGGCTTTGGGTCAAATTGATCGCAACCCCACGATTTTCGCTGCCGTCTTGACCAGCTCTGGCCCATTCTGTGGTATGTTGAGATCGGTCCTTATAGAAGGATGTGGTATTGACACGACGATCAGCTGGCGCAGATCTAACTGAACTGGCGAAGCTTACGACAGCCGAGGCGTAAGTATATCCACGTATGGAGCGGAAGAGGAGCTTCCGTTGACGTATCATACCATCGACAGGACCCGTGTGGGATGGCTGAAAGATCTCAATGAAGCGTTCTCAAGTTTTCGGAAGCCTATTCTGGCAGCTGTGAGGGGGTTTGCAGTGAGCTGGCTATCCCCCACGTCACTTAACAAGCATGCTGACGACCCATACCAGTTAGGCGGGGGCTTTGAACTCGCACTTATGGTAAGTACGAATTGACCGGTGCATTCCACCAATCTCGGATTGGCTTGGTTGCGATTATGAGTAATCGCTTACTGTTGGAGTTGTGTGCTTTGCAGTGGACGCTAATGACGTGCAGTGTGACATGGTTTACGCAACGGCAGATGCGCGGTTTGGTTTCCCAGAAATTACCCTGGGCACGATACCGGGAGCAGGTGGCACGCAAAGGTAAGAGCGAATCAAACCTTTTGGCTGACATGTATTGACCTCATTCAGGCTCACCAAGACGATTGGAAAGCAGAAGGTACGTTCCCGATCCGTAGGCTAGGCAATATTGTGCTAGCATTTTCCTTCTGTTGAGCAGCATTGGTATTAACTCAATAGGCAATGGAACTTATATTAACTGGCGCAACCACCTCGGCAACGGAGATGGAACGTCTAGGCGTTGTGAATAGAGTTGTTCCCAACGAACAAGATGTATTAGAGGTGGCAACAGCAGTGGCACGGACTATTGCGTCGTTTTCAGCGCCAGCGATTAGCCTAGCTAAACAAGCTGTTCTAGCAGGTGAGCATTGTCTGCGCGCCCGTATTTCAGGCTAGCAAAATTGACAGAAAGCAGCGGAGACGACGACCTTGGGGACAGGGCTAGAGATTGAGCGTGCATTGTACTACAGCAGCTTTTCACTTGAGGATTGCCGCGAAGGCGTTGCGGCTTTCAAGGAGAAACGAAAAGCAACTGTCCAACACCGTTAAATGGCAAGGGTAATGGAAGGCTCGGAGCAAATCATCTGTTGGAAATGTCAATTCGGGCCTTCTAGTCGGACTAGGCTTTTTGTGATAATACGTCCGCGCCGTAAATTAAGGCTTTTATCGAACTCCCGCCACGCGGGCAAATTATATGCGGGGGAGCTAAGCGCTTTGACAGGTACCGTGAGACTGGCTTGGCAGTGATATGTGGCTATATTATCCCTTCTGGCTCGTTGCCAAGGGTTTGTATTTTAGGCTGCACATGGCAACATCCGATGCCAAGATTCCACCACCCACCCTTACTGAATTACGCATTAGACATCTGAATGCTGTCAGCAGCGGGTGTGCCCGTCGGCATATAATTTGGTAGCGAGTTGTGCTGATGCTTAAATCCGTCTAGGCCCGGCTCCCGGAGCCGAAGACTGTTCCATATCATTGTAAAGCCGGCAACGCCGTGATATACAGAGAGTACGACATAGTACATACCATGTTTACACGAGGATCAATCACGATGGAACTAGAGCCCCGGACCATTCTACTTACCGTTGTCAAGTCGGCGTTTATCGTGATTTGTTGCACTAGCGGCGTATAGTAGAAACGCTTCCTAGGATCAACCTTGTGTTTCTGCACATCGACGATCACGCTGCTGTGCTTCAGGAAACATGATGTAGTTAATTGATTTACACTGTTTTCCCCCCAAACCCTTGGCTATTCTAAGCCATTCGAGAGAATGTAAACAGTTCTGCGATATTCAAAAAGCGTCCCTTACTATAGTAAGATTGAGACTACTGTTTGCGAACAACAATAGTATAAGAAAACCCTAACGTCATGCCCACGCCAAATCAGCATGTACTGCTGGCCGTACAAACTATGGTTACAGATTTTCAATGACAACTGTGACCTTTGATACTGTTTGGTAAACTGGTGTTGCAACCAAGGCGCATCGACTAGTTGATGCTTTGCTTCAATTTCCCTATTTTTATTGACAGGTAAGGAGCTGTAAGGAAACAATACAAAATCGCTATAGACATTACCGAGTGAATGTTCAATTTCGACTATACGTATCTCTAGCTACTTTATCTGTTCTTACCCTTGGATGAAGAGAGTGAGATTTTAGTGCCCGTGGCGTACCGGGACGCTAGCCTGGGAAGATCAAGGCCTAGACCGTCAAGCATGAGTTTAACGTATGATTTGACTTGCTTATATTTGTTGGGCGTATAACGTCTTGGTTTGCTTTTCTTAGAAAAGAATAGCAGGCTACATCCCAACCTACCGGAATGACGTATAGCCAGATACGACTTCGCAAGGACCTACCGTATGAGGGTAGATGTTCTTTAGGTTAGTTAGATTACGAACTTATGCTCCCTCCAGACTAATATCAATATATTGCTAAAGCTGCAATAATTGCCTTAGACCGTGTTGTGATGCAATGACTTAAGCGTTGGTCAGCGTCAAATTAATCTAGGAAGGGCCCACTGCGGAACGTGGAAACTACTTGCATAGGTATTGTGATTGTATGATTTATGAGAAAGCTCAGACACTTTAATGAATCTTTCTGCAGAGATTCTTCATTTCTATCAAATTAGTTAACTAATAGAAAATTCATGCAGATCGGATTTCTGTGTTGGGTAATAGTTTGGACAATACCTAAATTCAGCACACGCCATTTTCTGCATTACAAAGTTGCATTTCCACTCTGAGCTGTAGCCCTTATCTAGTGCCTTTGCTAAGGATAGACAATATATCTCATAAAAGTGTTGAGAATGCTAGATGTATGTTTTTGTACCCAACACTTCCATCAACACGGCTGAACAGTGTACGGGCGCATACGTAATGAAAACGTGAATCGCTTAGTCAGCCCCATGCGCAAAACATGCTGATTGCATCCGTTTCTTGGGGATCTAGTATATCTTGTGATGAACTTGTAGACCGTATTGAAGACTCAATATGTGTCTTATCAAGTTAGTGACCACCCTGAAGTTATGCTGGATTCATGAGTCAGAGAAAAGTTTTTATTTCACCCTACCTAGTGAATAAGAAAACGAAAGTTGTAGGGAACAGAAACAGTCAACGAAAACTAGTTGAGATAAGTGGGTTTGAGCCTTCATCTCCATAAAATGAGAAATTGGTTGTATAAATGGTAGGGAACAAGTCCGTAAAGATCGCAGCTGATTATGGAGGGTGGAGAAGTGGTCGCAGTATGCAAAAGGCATGGTGACTAAATCATCGCCCACCTCAGCAGAACCCCTGCCGCAATCACCGAGCAAACGCTGACCAGCTCACCCAACCCTGCAAACTCTGGAGGAATATGGACATGCACAATGGCACCGGCAGCAAGAAAGATAGAGAACAAATTGTACACAAAACTACAGCCGAAGTTGAAGGCGATCCGATGAATCGATTTTCGGCTGACAGTTGCGGCGATGAGAATGCCGGACAAACGGTCGCATTAGGACAACATCTGCGGCTGATTTAGCAACGTCGGTGCCTTCATTCATATGTACGCCGATGGTGGCCTGGGCAAGAGCGACAGTATCGTTGGCTCCATCACCACACAACATGACAACGGGGCTTCTCACTTTCTTTTTCGATCCGCGAAGGTCAGATGTGGCAAGAAGATCCTTGACATAAGATTGCTTATCTATCATAGTGCAGCGGGGTCGCAAGTTAGAACCAGAAATCTGCAATTAAGATGCGACTGCTCAGACAGCACAATCATCGACACCAGAGAGGAAAAGAGCCGTTATCGTTACTAAAGTTTCGCCATACTAGAAAGAGTATCCTTTTGCAGAGAATCTTATAAACATAAGATATTTACTATTCTATAGATACTAGAGAGAAAAGAGTACTAATAGTGTAGAGTTAGGCCTAGCTAGAAGGTATGGCGATGGCAGTCCCTCTCTGAACTTGCGGCATGGTCCCGCCGTGTGTGTGAAGTGAGCAGAGATAGGGACGCTGCTAGGTTACCACCTGCTGAGTTTCCCATGAACGCAATGAGGGCGGGGCCAATGTTGACTTTGGTTTGCACCGTAAAACCTTCAGAGTGTGTCCATTGGAGAACTTTGTGCGGTTGGAGCAATGCGTACGGGAATGGGTACCGTGGTGACTTTGCATAGTCCACAGAGACTACGACTGCATCAATCTGAGCGAGGTTTAGATTCGCAACAAGTTGTAAAGATGAGTGAAGTACGCACCGTGTCTGAGAACAGAAAAACGATGTTTTCACCATCTCATGGCTGTCCAAGGACGAAGCATCCGCCCTCGAAAACTAAAATGAGACGTAGCTCACTTCCTTCTTTCAGCTTGCGCTCGGCTGGTAAACAAAACGAGCACCGCACGCTTCACAGACACAACAGTTCTATTGACACTGCGTGCCCACCTCGGACGCCATAGTTGCTGAGACCTCTTCCCCAGTACTGATACAGATTCTCTCGTAGCCAACGGGCCATTTTTGGTAAGTAAAGTCTCTATTATAGAATTATCTTCTCGTATTGATCTTTCCCAAAACTAGCCTAACTTAGTGTATTTAACTTATTTTTAAGGTTACAATGAGTTCGTATTATCTTATATTAATAAAGATTTTCAATAAGTTTGATCTTCAAGAAGTTATTAGCTTACCAACTTTGCTAAGACCTAGGTATATATAGCTTACTGTTATCTAGGATATCTCTTTGAATAAAAGGACAAGTGGAATTTGTACTGCTATATAACGCTTGTGTAGTTCCGAATCAGCCCTTATATATTCATGAGTTGTTTGCTTCCTATCAGCGTCGAGATGAAAACCAGGTAGATTGTCGGAGAAAGCCTTGATGTAAACCATTGCTCCTACATCTAGCACACTGAACCGCATCTAAAAACATCGATCACCCGCCATATAAACCACATGCCCATCACGCAACACCAGGAATCGGCACTGGCCCAACTGGCCCCTCACAGGCCCCAATATTAGCCTGATGCATACTCCTAACCCCCCACTGATCCGGATAATCCACAGCCGAATGAAAAAGCTGATAATTCGCCCACATAACCACGTCCCCCTCCTCTAGTCTGGGCAACAATACAAAATCGGGCTTCAACACGCGCTCTTGTATGGGTCTTAGCCAGTCGCGTATCGCAGCGACATCGTCAACTACAGTCGGTTCTTGGTGCGGGCTGGAGCGGAAAAAGGCGCGGCGCACGCAGATGCCGTGGACCATGAAGGCGCGTTCGTGAGTGACGGGGTTGATCCAGACCATTGGGTAGTGTTTTATGTGTTTTTCGTCGTAAGGGGGGAGGTCTGCGAGGGGTTTCTCTTTGCCTTGACTAACGACGCCGAGGCCGTTGGGGTGGCCTTTGCAGTCGCTCATCCATTGGTAGGGGTGCGGGGCGTATTCAACCCAGGAGTGGTCTGCGAGGTTCTTTTCTTCTTCGGTCATCATGGAGTAGGTTTGTACGTTGCTTATGAAGGCGGTGAGACCAGGTTCTGTTTCCATGGTTTGGCCGCTGCCGTCGTCCCAGTGGATGGTTAGGGTCGGGGCCGTGGGCCGTTTGATGCAACGGAGCGTTGTGAACCAGGCTGGGTCGCGGGCGTAGAGGGGTGCATCGATGTGCCAGCGTTGGAAGCGGGTATGACCAGATTCATATTCTTCGTTTGTCGGAGTGGTATTGTGCCATGCGTGAAGAATGCCCTTCTTGAGTGTGACATCTTTGAGTCCATAATGATCTTCTCCCTGATAGCCCTTGCCGATTAAACGGACATTCTCCGCACCTGGTATACCCAAGACATCTCTTCCTTTCTGTATCTTGGGTTAGAAACTGGGTTTACTTGATTGCTTTGATATAGGTCCATACCGACAGCAGCCCGCCCTGTTTGCTGAACGTTTTTACGTCGCCATGAGAATGAATCTGAGGAGCTTTGGGGTCGAATCGAGTAACAAGCTCCCACTGTTTGATAGGTGAAAGGTTCTTCTGACCCTTTACAACGACAAGCTTGTATGTCCAGATGGCGTCGGACAACGCTTTCACATCGGCGTCTATACACAGTCATTAGATCTTCTGGATGATTTCGTTTTTACATTATTAACATACCACTTATGTTTTCAATATCAAGGTCTTCAACTATTGCACCAAAATTGTGTTTCTCATTTGCAGTCTTCTTCATCTCTTTCACCTCGAAGGTCGACTCGTGTGCTAAACGGCCTGGTGACATATTCGTAACAGTCGTGTTTTCTAATCGGTCAATCCACAGACACTGTTCTTTTTCAAGGCGTCTTCAACAACTAAAATGAAGTTTCTTTTCGCACGAAATGTAAGTCACAAGTAATGTGTTGGTACCAATTACGTCGAGGAAAAGTACAGTTATTAATGCTCACATTTTCGCACCATGTGAGATTTCCGAGTTTCAGTTGTCATTATCCTAGCTGTCCCAACGCACATGACATCCACTTTGAGTGTTATCAGGGCCTTATCTAAGCTCCTGTCAAACGACGCTGCATGGAGCTGCAGATCCATGTAACAAACGCGTGGGAACAGCCGTGTTACAGGATCCCTGATCCATCGTTTGCGTGGGCGTTATCTTATCAGTAGTATTCTATCGCTCGGCCGAGTACCCACCCCTAGGGTCGCTTCTGACCGTCCTTACAGGGCAATTAAAACTCTAGATCCAAGTACCGAAAAAAGGGCGCAATCGATCATGTCGTCATGAACCATATCAGCTTCTCTATATCGGGCTTAATGAGCAGCGATGAGGCGTTTGAAAGCTGATCTCAATTACGCATTCAAACGACTAGAAGCTATCCGGTGCCCTTTCCGTGAAAGTTCGCCTGATTTTACAGCTCTTGATAAACAATGGGCGTCTTTGTTAGAACTAATTCATGCGCATTCTTGTAGTGCATGCACTTCAGGTCCTATAGATGCAGGACGCCACAACTTTCAAATCGACGGTCTCGAGCGAAATGAACGCTGTCATTGGTCAAAAATATGATCAGCTGTGCTTGATTGCCTAAGAGACTTGCGCAAAATGCAATGCTTGGAATGTGGAGTGGCGGCTTGTGCTGAGCAGTGAGAATTTTGATCTGAACAGCCGATAAGAAACATCGCAGAGCAGCACATCAACTGTTGACCCTCGATAAAGAACTTTAGCACTCCAAAGTCTCAGCTGGCGCCTTGTTCTGGCCTTACTTTACAGAACCAACCACTTTTTCATAGTATATACCATGAATGACCCATGGGCCACTTGCAATATCTTTTACGGTAATGCCAGACTCAATAAAGATACACTTTATCACAATACAAGATCAACTATCGCCGCAGATGGCTCGCTCATAATCGTAGATGACACGTACGCTGATGTGGCCAAATTTCATCTGTGGCTCATCAGACTACAGACAGATTTCAAATCTGCAGGTATTCCTGACCACTACATTCAGCTAGTGAGAGATCTTTTGGAAACGTTCTTCCCCAGGGATGACCGGGGCTGAAAGTAAATACCAAAAACCAAGAATCCCATCGACGAAACACTGCTAATAGACATTGGCTTGAATCCTGTTAGAGTCGGAGTTTTTCCTGGTCCGGTTGGAACTCTTAATCCAATGAAGGTGTCAATTGGACGACCAGGTCATTTCGACTTTGTTCAGATCGCAGATGTAGCGACAGCATCAGCGTATGTGTTCTCGATAGTGAAACCTACAGTTGATAAACCAATTTGGACGACATACTACGGGCCACTTCTCATCATTTTTGCCCGCTGCATACATCTGGCCTTTGCAGTTCCTTGCCCTTTTGCAGACACCATAGCTGGCCAAGGCAGAGTGCTTCCAACTGACATTCCAATGATGGCAGAAATCATGTATCTAATCACCGACAATCCAGTTTTGATGCTCAGCACCAGCATGGTGAACGAAACTGCAGGTATCGGTGCTATGTAGGTTGAGATAGACCGAAAAGCTGCCCTCCAAGATCAATGACGGTTCGAAATATTACTTGGTCAGTCCTTAGATCTCGTATCCTGGGCACGAGGAGAGCCAATCGTAAATCTACCAAGTTTCCTCCTATTTCGGCGAGAAATTTGTTTCGATACATGTACCTGACATTGTTTCGACACAACATCTCCAGTGACGCAATCATGCAACCTATACAAGCGTCGTTGCTTGCGATATTCTTGCTCAATGCCCCGCCAAATGACAAAGTGGCGACTCCTCTCGGAAGCCAACCTGGCGGCTTTTCTTTTGTATGCAATCACCCTTCCCTGAGTGCGCAGCTCGAACCAAATCCGGAAACAAATCTTTTCGCAGTCTGCTTTAGCAAAAGGACAACCCTTTTTGCTTAACTCAGGTGAGTTGTTGTCTCTTGCTCTGTCTTGTTGTAATGAACGCACAGGATTATCTGCCGATAGTACTTGACATTCGTCTTTCAAAGACTGCCCGTAGGAACATAACAAGACCAGTTCGTATTATAGAGAATGTGGTCTCATATCGTGTGGCCAGGATACCCTAAAAGATTTAGTTGATAACAACTGTGGGGGGATGATAGGGTAGCCATGCTCCGTAACCACTCGTAAAAGTAGCGCCAAATCGGCCGAGTATAGACGGTTGTCGATTGGCGTCGGTTGGCAGGGGGGAGGTGTCGAGCGACGGTTGTCGATTGGCCTGCTCACCCCCCTGCTCAGCGACGGGCGTCGATTGGTGTCGCTCCCCC